TTCAGTGCCTCATGACCTGTTTTACTTGGCCTATTGGTACTCCAAATCTAACCAAATGTGAGCAATGTGTAGTCAGAGGTCTTCATGTGTGCGACGCCTCATTGTTGCCATACACTATGTGCAGCTTCCCAATAGTACATGACTGTCCATGCACTTCCCCCACTAATACTGAATTAAAAAATTAAAATAACAGGGAAATGGACCATGTTTATTACTGAAGACCACTAAGCAACAATTTTGCTTAGTGGTCTATGGAGCATATGAGCAAAAGTTTTGGTGGTATTCTAGTAGTAAATATGAACATTTATTGTAGGGACAACCCATCGAGTTTGAGCCATGAAAACCCCACACTTTTCCAATGTGTGCTGATCAGAACTCATCTGTTCCCATGACTTTTCATCACAAATAGTGATGTTTATTTTTTGTGCTTGCTTTCTTTTGTTGGATAGATTATTTAAGATTATGTTTTGGCAAAGTGCAAAAGTCATTTTAAACATCTAAAAATTAGAGAAATCTGGTATCAGAGGTGATGTGAAAATAATGTTTTAAAACTTTTTTTTTTTTTTTTTTGACAGAGTTGTAGGAGACAGAGTGTGTAGGAATTAGCATTCGAGCAGTGAGGAATGCAGAATGCAACCACGTGATAACCCTTCCCCTCACCTTCCTGTTCCAAGAAACTTCAGTGGCCCCTAAAAACTTTCAAAAACCGCGAAAATGCCCTCTCTAAAGCCAGGGTGAATTTGTCTTTTCAGGGCTACTGTACAAACATGGAGGTGCAACATGGCACACAGAACCCACTCACTCTGTAGATATAAAGGGCTCAATCTAAGTTAAAAAAAACACAACACTACTTATTTTGAGGTGATTATACACTAATGAAAACTTTCTTATAAAAACAATATTCAGTTTCTGCAAATGTCACCTTAAATCTTACACACTGGTCCATTAAGCTCCGACCAGCAATACAGTGAGGCACCTATTTTTGCAGCTTGACACTCCAAGGATCATTGGGAATACTTTGAGGTCTAGCAGGGGCAACATTTACTCATGACTTCAAAAAGCCATAATCTAACGCTCATGCCGCTCTGATAAACGCCACAATTAGTTTCTTGAGTTCCACGATGTCATGTGATGCACAGATGAAATTGTACTGCATATAATCAAGTGTGGCGACACCACTGTTCATCATCATAACCTCTGTTCACGGGTCACACCTGCCCTGCGGACTGCTGGTCAGCAGATGCTGTCTCAGCCTGCTTCATCTCCTGACTTAAACCACACTGTGAACCTGTGAGACACCCTGCAACACAATAGCTGCAGACGTGACCTAGAGCAAGCAGCTTAGCCAGGACCTTCTCCATACATGTGGCAGCAGGTCACAGCTGCACATCCACAGGCTCGTTTGCTCCAGGAGGTTTCAAGCAGAGGTGGCTGCAACAGGTGATCACCAAGGGTTCTGATAGACTGCTGGACAACTAGAGTAAATTGTATGTTTTCCTGATTTTATTTTATATATTGTAGTAATTAGATATATTTTTGCCGTCAGTATATATGGACTTAAAGTTCTGTCTGTGGACACACCTTCCCTCTCACTCTTGAATCTACTTTGATTTTTCAAAATGCAGGCAATATAGGTAAAGACATGATGCCTAGCCATATATATAGTTTTATGTGCTGATCTCTGAAACTTCTGCCACCACCCCAATATGAAATTGAATTACATCACTGAAAATAATCCCAGCAGTTTTCATTGGAATTATTTACTCGTTAGAAAGAAGTTCCAAAAATACTATTTACAGTGAGGTGTGTGGACTACCCAAAGTAACCAGGACTTATATTATATATATTCTGTTGGTGTGTTCTTTGAATGTCAAATGCACAGAGAGCAGGACAGATTTCATTCACCCACATTGTATTGGTGTAGCAGCAGAAAGATTTCAAGGGCAGTTTGCCCTGCGAGCGTTTTCAGTGATGTTTGACAAACAGGATTAATAATTATTAGTTGATTAGTGCTAATCAATGTGACATTTCTGTGACTTCACAAGAATGAAATGGGTCCATTACAATTTATCCACCTGGGAGCAAAGCGTGACTTTTACTTATAACCCTTAATAAGCCCACAATAATTGCAAGGGGTTTTGTAAACATAGCGGTTTTAGCCTTCCAGACTAAAATGGTAGCTTAGGAAATGTGGCTACTGCTGTTAACACTTTTAAACTTTAACTTATTAGCAATTGAAGAAATCTGTACTGCATCACACTGACATTGATATATTCATTTTGGTTCACTGAACAATTATTATCCCATTACATTCTGGCATCAGTGTCTGCTAATAATCAGCAAAATAGAACACAAAGGTACACCTACTGTATGTACCTTATATTGTATATTTGTTTGTAAAGCGTACTTGTGAATGTAAATTGTGAAATTGCTGTTGTTCAAATTTTCAGTTCCATACTAGATAGGTAAAGGTTTGGGGAAAGGTGTGTAGCAGCTGACCACAGGTCAGTGCTCAAAGGAAACCACAAAAATGATTAGTTTTAGAAATCAAAGACGTTTGCTGCAGTGTGTTTGCAAAAATACATTGAGAAATAGGGATGCATGTGAGTGTGCTAGCAAAAACAAAAGGGGAAGGGGTTCAGAATAGTTTCATACCATTATTCAACTAACTATAATGAATAAAATGTGACTTAATATGACCCAAGTAGGATTATTAAACACCATACACACATTCCGTTACTAAAAAGGTGCCTATCCTTCATCTCCAGAGTTTGTATGCATGTGTGAACGAACTGTAAGCTTTCTTCATTTGTAGAGGGGTGAAGATTTTTTCTTACAGGCTCAGAGGAATGGAACACCTTTCCTGATGGTGGCCAGATGACTTTGAAATCATCTTCATAGAAATGTGACAAGAAATATTCCATCCACTGTCCAGGTGGAACTTCATTCTAGCATCTGCACTGATGAATCCTCCAGTTCCTTCTGCGTCTCTGCAGCAGCAAGACGTCAACTGCTCCTCCTCCTCCTCCTCCATACCAGCTGCCCAGTCCCTACTTATTCAGAATCCTATCCAAGCCAATATTAGTGTGTCTGTGCAACGACTGGTCCAAGAGGGTGTGTTTGTATGTTTCGTGTTGATGGATAAGGCACTATACGTTGCAGCATCAAGAGACTTTCATGTAAAAGTCTTCCCTGAGATACATGGAAGGTTGTTTGGGGGGGGGGGGCGGCGACCAGGAAAGCTGTAAAATGTTATGCTATATGTATCTTATGAAGTGCATTTCATTGATTAAGTGCAGCAATTAGTTCAATTTACTTCCTAAATGTATTATGCAACTGCAAAAAAAGCCAATGAAATGTTGCCTAATAAGAGGCACATTTCTAAAAAATGAACCACTGAGAAACCATACGGTTTGAAGAAGTTTGCCTTGCCAACATTGAGGCACTTCAACATCAGTAACCTAGCTTATCAAAACCAATATATTCAGTGGTACTAAGGAGCTGTCAAAGATCTGATGAGGGTCTCCCACTTGTGAGCAAGACATGCTAAGTGCTGAAGCTGTGTAAATGTCTGCTATTACAACAGCTATAGGGCAGCTAAAGAAGGTCTAAAAACACGGTTGACTGACAAAAGATGCATACTTTATATAACACTCAGAAAACAAGTCCTGAATTGTTGACATAATTGTTGAGATTGTATGGTGGTGGTAAAGGTCAATCAACAATCTTATTTGGGCTGTGCTTGATTTAAGATTCAAGGATTTCTAGTCCGATTAGTCCTGGGAAAAAAAACATTTCTTTTCCTACATGTACAATTAAAAAAAGTTTCACTAGGATATGTGCACTCCATTTTAATAAACATTTGGGCATACACCTCCTTCAGGCATGTGGTAAGTAGTGTGTAATAAAATGTGCAGATTATAGAGTGTATAGTGCGTAGTATGTAATAGAATTTGAGTGTGCAGATCCAGGTGTGTAACGCTTTTCTACGCATGACTCTCTCTCCAGCACCAAGTGCCCTTTAGCCAGATACACAGAGGAAACTTTAGTATTTAATTTGATTACTTAAAACAAGATTTAAAATCTAAAAACCTATCACAAGGTCTTTAAATGTCTACATATCTTATTTAGTATATAGTATGAGATTTTTAAAAAGTAAAAAAAATATAATTAATAATAATGAAAACAAAATAATGATGTGGTTCAATATATAAAATGATGAGCAATGGTGTGTGTATGTGAGCATCTTCCTGTTGGGTTGGGTTTAACAGGTAAAAACACACTGTCTGCTTCATGTGCACTGCAGGTTATGTGAGAAACACACCCTAAAGCTTTACCGTAAAGTATTCTTCATCCTCTCAAAGGTCGACAGCTTATTTCACAGTACGAAGCATGTTTCCAGAATAAGTTACTGTTGCCAAAAGTGTCAATGTGTTAAGCCTTCCTTTTTACCAACTAAAGCTTCTTCCAACTCGTGTTTGTCATTCAGGGACTGAATGTCATTGTTTTGCAGCACATATGTATATTCTTCAGTGGGAACATTTTGAGTTTGCAAGAGACCTTCAGTTGGACAAACTGAACATCGGAGCAGTGTTTAAATACACTGATACCAAACACAGTAAAGTGCCCTGCCTACCCAGCACTACCCCACACACAGTTGCTGTGTGTTGCAGTTAACAGTTTGAAGTTAGGAGACTGGTTTAAATGACAACTGGATCCTGACTCGTCAAGACCTTTTCAGCACATTTTGGGCATTTAGAATCAACAAAGAAACTATAAAAGCGAACATACTTACCCACTGCTGACCCCTGCTACTTATCAGTCATCCCGGACAGAGAGTGTGAATGCATCCAAGTGTGCGTGTGCTTGTGTATGATTGTGTTACGTAGTGCCATGATTCAAAGAGGAATCGAAATCTGAAATGCCCAAAGAGGCATTTCGTGCCTTGTGTGTAAACTGCTGAATGATCTGAATGTGTATGAGTAGCGAATGGTACATACACGCTGTGTAAAACTTAGATGATGGTATGGAAGTGGCCTGAACTTCTGTGAGACTGGGGTCGCAGGCTAAGGGAGGTGCAGCGTCCTTCTGCCCTCCATCATCTTCCTTCATCGCCTCCTCTTCACCTTCCTCCTCAGCCTTTCCTGCTAATCTCTTAGACATCCCACACGACCTCTGACCCTGTGAGGAAAATATTTGTCAAAAATAAAGCCAGATTTTTACACAGTGGTTTCACACACAGTGGAAAAGACTCACTACAATATATATATTAACAGTACACTTCAAATGTCTATATCAATTTCTCTCCATGTTGAAATTACTTACCATTGCAGTGGGTCTTGCAGTGGCAGCTTTTCTCTGCGGCCTTCCTCTGGATTTGGGCACCTTAGGACCAGAAAGAGTCTTCATTGTGACGGCAGCATGCTGAAGGATGCAGTCAGTGCCACAGTAAACGGAATCCGGTAGGGCTTGTTTGGAGCACCCGGGTCCAATGCACAGAGGAAGAGAGCTGTCGATCTCCATCTCAGCTTCGGGTTTGGCTTCTTCAGCTTCCAGTCTCGTCACAGGAGCCTTCTCCTCCTCCACCACCACCACTACAGTCTCCTGAAACGAGAGTCTCATCTTAGACCCAACACCAGACTTCCGTTATGCAAAACCAGCCAATGGCTAATGATGCAAATATAATACTGTGATGACACACCACATATTTACTGTCACACAGTAATGACTGCTGCAATCAAGTTGAAAAGCTATTTATATTTTGTTGTGACTAAGGGCAGTGAGTAATCTGGAGATCGGTGGCATTCCAAATGCAATTCTAACCTTGACGGCTTGCTGTTCCTCATGCACCTCCCCCTCTTCACCAGAAGGACTTAGTGTCAAGCATTCCGGAAAGCTAAGCTTAGGCTCTGCCTGAAGGTGAGGCTCAGGCTGGAGCTGGCTCTGCTTCTTTGTAGTGCAAGGAGGGCAGATATACTCTTGTCCTTTCCTCTCCATCTCACGGCCCTGTGTCTCACTGATACCAATGCAGTTGCCATGGAACCACTCCTGGCAACTGTCACAGCAGATCATGAACCTAGAAGCAGTGAAAAAAACACAACAGTGACCAGGAAGTGAAACTGATGGTTGACGTTATGCAAACCTCCAAAAGCAGATTACCAGAAATGAGCATGTACCTTTTATTGTGTTTCTGTCGACAGATGCAGTACAGAGCATTCGAGTCATAACCCTCAGAATCAGATATGCTTGAATACTCTCCTGCTTTCTTGTAGTTTTTCTCCTCCTCCTCTTCCACCTCCTCTGGTGCATCATCATACTGGCCAGGGGTTACATCAGTGATCTGGTCTGAATCAGCATCTATGATTATGCAGTCTGAGCTTGATTGCTGATCAGGAGTGGTATCAGAGTGGGTAGGTGATATCACTATTTCAGCAGGGCTATGTTGATTTTCATTTTCCTCCTCTTGCAACTGCTGCAGATGCTGTTCAGCAGGAGTAACAAGCATTACCTCATCATCGTCGTCCTCATCGTCTGCAGTGCTTGACTGAAGCTCCACTGCCCTGCCCCTCCCTCTGCCCCTTCCTCTACCTTTTCCCCTACCTCTTCCTCTGCCTCTCCCCCTTCCTCTGGCCTTTCCTCTTCCACCTTTCCCCCCTCTACCTCTATGCTTGCCTTTAGATGCCAGTTGTTCCTTAATCTGCATCAGTGTCATTTCATCACTGTCCTCTTCTTGACTAGAGATCAACACCACATCATCGATTTCCCCTCCAGCCACAATGTCAGGAGCAACAGGCTGTGAAATCTCCATGTCATCAGTTGATTCTGTATCATCAGGCACCTCAGTTCCGTCTATAGCCTGTGGAGGAGTGTCATCGATGGCATCAGTGGCTTCCAAAATGTCAGGGACTGCCAGTGCATCAGACATATCCATGGACAAGCCCTCATTCCCACCAAGCAGTGAGAAGGCAGTGTGGAAGGCAGACCCAAAATCTTGCCATAAGCTGGGGTCAAGGCTCCCTCCTGCAGATGTTTCTGAGGCTGGTTTGCCCTCCTCTGATACAGGTGAGGATGGGGCAGACCACTCAAGGTCATCTATAACACTCCTACTTGCACGAGTAGCTGTCTGGGTGGCGCAGGTTTCTGCAGTGTACTGAGGTGTCTGGACCATTCGACGACTTCGGCCTCTGCGTACTAGAGGGGGACTGTGGGTTAGGTCTCCGACTTCATCCAAGAACTCCCTTTTAGCAATGGTTGTCCGCCTGAAGCCCCAGGACTTTTTAACCTGAGTCAGGGATGGCCTAACACTCGACTCTCCACCTTCTGACTGGCTCTGCTGTTCCTCTATTGACAGATAAGAACAAACAAGATTAAAAAAACAGAACCAAAATCTTATTTATGTCCTTTTATAGCAACAGTCTAAAGAATCTGTTTTACCTGAATCACCAGCGATCCTGTTATTTTCCATTGTGTCCATTATGACATCCATAGGTAACAAGGCTGTAAACCCCAGAAAATATAACTTGTTAGTACTAAGTTTAAAGGAATGTTAACTATTGGGCAAGATACATGAGGACTAAATGTAGGTACCTATACAACCAATGAGCAGGCAGCCGCCAAAGCTCAATTTTCAGGACATGTAAAGTGTCATTCCACTGGTCTCTCTTTGCACCTGGGTAAATTAAGAAGGAAAAACACACCAACAAATCCACATTACATGATGAGTCAATACTCAATTACGAATACCAACTGCTGTGGGATCTGTCCATCCACTCCACATTGAAAGGTTCATTCCAAAACTCATACTCAAACTCAAATGCACTTAATTGCCAGTTCAACTAATGTGGTCTAATACAACCACTGTGCAACTGTCACACCCACACATCAAAAAAAAGGTTATAATGATCACTTTTGTTAAATCTGTTTGCGAAAAGTGTTGATTTGATATTGTGTTAATGTTGAGTTGTATTATACTAAGAGGCGATTCTACTAATTCAACAGCACCACAAGCAGTTTTCATTCCATTATAACCTTCATGAAGGTAGGATTTATATGCAGGGCTGTTGTACTAGACGGCATACGCTTTAGCTACTGAGTGTATATATATATATATAAATCTGTATGCCTTGACCAGACTCAATCAAGTCAGCATTGGGGCTTTATTTTATACAGTTTTACAGATGAAGAGGAGAAAGGTAAAAACAATTGGGTTTGGGAATGAATAACAATAATGACAATGGGTCTAACACATTTAGCACTGGAAAACGTGACGTGAGAGGCTATCTGGGTTTACAAAACCCATACAGTTCTGATATCCATATCTATCGTTAGTTGCCTGATATTTATTTATTGATGTGTTAACGCCTAAAGAGTTTGCCTACACGCTACCGTTATGTCTTTTGCTCACATGGAAAAATCACCCTGGTGCAGATGGTTTATTTATGCAAAAACTCTTCAACAGTCCTGATAAATGGGTGGGCAGTACACAACGTCCTAGTGGTCTAAATTTACACTCGTTAGCAAAACAGAAACGACCCATAGTAGTTTCACTATCAGACCTCAGTCGGCTATAAAGCACGAAAACGAAGCGTCCTTGTTATTCCGTAAAGGGGTAGATGAATCTTTTTTCCTGGTGACGACCGACATTGTTCTCTGCAGCTAATTGAACTAGCCGCTAGCTAGCAGTTAAGTTACTACGTTACCTGGTATTAATGCAAGACGCTGCGAAGCTAATCGTCTCCAACGATGCCGAAACACGAATTAAATGATGCACGCTTGTATATATATAACCCCTTGAGGAAAATTTAAATCATACCTTGGAGGCAAATGATTAATTTCCAGTTCCTAATAGATTCGCTGTGCTAGTTACCTAGCTAGCAAGTACAGCCTTCCATTTTATCAGCCTTGCCGATACGTAATCTCGCGATACTCCCGCACAGCCGGAAAGCACCGTGGTTTCCTGTGATCCTTAGTTTATCAACGATCGTTTGATTGGAGGTCATCAGTTTCAATGGAAAGACGTCTGACACTAAAATAATCAAGGTCCAATGTGTTAAGTTGATCAGGGCATTTTTATTTTTTCTTCACGAGTCCATTTATTGTATGTACAATATGTAAACACTAACGACACAAGCTCAAAACAGACATGCTCACAGAAAATAATAGCCAGCCAAAATGCAGTTTCTATTTATGCCTACCCAGTTCTTAGACACTGTCTGATCAGGATTTATATCAGCTTTGGATACCTGGTTAACCAGAGCCTTTGCTTCAAGCTGACATTCATGTGAAGTAATTTATTTTCAAATAACTTTGTTTAGACACATAGAAATGTGATTTCTTTAAACATACTATAAAAAAAAAAAAAAACATACAACACTATAAATATTGTTTAGGTATTTTCTTACAAAAACTTTGTACAGTTTAAATTTTTTAGTTATTTTTAATAAATCACAGATGTTTTTTATGTGTGTCTATACAATGTGGAACTACAATACAAAACTGGTATAAGCCAAAAATGCTACCACTGATATGAAGAGGACGCAGTTGAAAACATGTTTAAACCCGCATTACTCAAAATACGTAAGTTGACACGAAGCAGACATGGTTTAAAACAAAGATGAAAATTGCATAACTCAAAATACCTCTGATGGCACATGATAAATGCATATCCACTGCTGATGGCTGTTTCTATGTTTTGTCTCATAATATGGAGAGCAATCAACCAAATCAAAACAGCCATGAAGTACTTAAGAGCAGCATTGAAAATGTTAATGTAGAACATATTCTGTGGGTTGATACAATCTTGCTTGAAACAAGTGGTAATAGAGCTATAACAAAACTACAGAATGAAAACATACAGACTCAAAATTTTTCCAGACGGACTACTTTCACATGATGAATCCACCTGAACACAGACTTGTGAGAACAGTGAATGAGATGAACAAAAATAAAAAATAAAAAAATGTCCACCAAGCACATACATATGGGAATGGAAAAAACAAAGTGATTTGTCACTGAGGTGCAGGCCTTCAAGCTTTAAGTTTGATGCCACATCTGATACGACAAGCCCCACAGTGGCCTTGCAAAATGTGTGAGTGTATCTGTAGTGTAGCAGTTAGGTAACAGTAACGCCAGCACTGTCCTTGCTCTTGTCTATATATGTGGGAGAGTTGCTTTTGTCTGATATGGATCCTGCTCCTGAGGGCAGGGTTTGTGTGGCAGGTGAGAGGCCTGATGGTTTGACTGAAGAGTCTGAGTTGGACTCTGCTTCTGGCTCCTGCTGCGAAGCTGTGGCTGGAGGGAAAAGCAAAATACAAAATGAGAATATGGACACTATATATCTGTTTGTCTACAGAATTTGCCTCTTACCCCACAGGTTGGATAAGAAGAAAGGCTGTGTCTATAAAACATGATGATGTAAAATCTATAACAATGCTATTGCTGCACTTAATTTGTAAACCAGGAGGAAGACAGGTTCCGGCGGGTCAGGGGGAGAGAAAAAGTCACAGAACGCATCAAAAATCCACAGTGCCTGGAGCACATTGGACAAGCTGAGATGCTAACTGTTACAACTAAACAAAACCATCACATATAAGTCATTTATTTACATTTATTAATCAGATCATCCACAATAATCGCTCAAAATCAGCAGGGGGAGGTGCGTAGAAACAGCTGTTTCCCTTTCTCTCTCTCTGTCGTTGACTGTCCCTTCACTTCCCTGTTGTTTCCCGTCTGCTACAATGGGGGGAAAAGGGAATTAGGACTGAAAGTTCTATTTACAACCACGAAAAGCAAGCAGGCTAAGAAACCAAACTAAGTGACATGTTCTGTGTATCTGTCAATCGCCTCACCTCCATTTCAGTTCTGCGGAACCTACACACGCAACCCCTAATTTCACAGCACACAGGCCCACTTTCTTAGATGTGGGGCTTACAGTAATCATACACCAAAAGCATTAAATCACTTGCCAGCATCAGTGTCAGTGCATCTCCCAGTATATTAGGTAGATTTTGATATTGACTGCACTCCCCACTCCAGCTGACATAGTGAGTGTTTAGCCTTACTGCTTTTGTGTCCTAATTTTTCATAGTGCAAGTTCCTTATGAGAGGTAAATACATTTCATATACATTTTTAATTCATGTTTATTGTGTTCTTTATCAGTAGTTTATAAGGGTGGATGTTATGGCAATTCATGATGTATTTTTCTAAATTTCTTTAAGTACTTGAGCACAATCTCTCTGTGTGCTTCCCCATCTGAGTATCTTTGGTAGACTTCATTAATCCAGTCGCCAAATCAGTGTGGAAGCTTTTTGTAGTGCCCAACATAAATCAACACCATATGTTAGTTACTTTATCAAAAAGGGCTGCTCAAATTTAATCTGTATACTGGACACACTAGTGCACCATGAGTGTGTTTTCTGTTACCTGACTGTGTGCAGGACTTCATGTGTTCTGGCCAGTGGGCTTGCTGGCAGGGGTAATCACAGTAACTTGTATTCCAGCAGCAGTAGAAGATGGCCTCCTTCCTGCAGTTAGCGCACCACTGTTTCTTTTTGGTCTCGTCCACTGCTTGCTGCTTCTCCGACTCCATCTGCTTTTTCACATCAGCCACCAACCGTTCTCTTTCCTGCTCCAGACTCTGCCTCATCTCTGCCATTGTCAGTTCTGCATTTATATGAGACAACATCAAAATAACTCAAAACACATACTCATGTGTGAAAAATAAACATCTGAATCAGGAAAAGAAAGGTTGAGTAGTACATCAACTCTCAGGTGTGTGGTCACACATCCCTGGAAGCAGGAAACCTACCAAGATTGTGCTTCATCTCTGACAACTCCTGTTGATGCAGCCACTGGAGCTTCTCAATCTCTATCCTTAACCGTCGAATCTGGGACAAAAATAACGCAGAGCTTAAAACTTGCCAAGTATTATCATGACATTTTTATCTCAGCCTAGATGTCAGAATTTACCTCTGCAATTGTGTTTCCTGATGTGCTTTTGGAAAGGTCATTGTAGATTTCAGTCATTGTCCCTTTTATTGAGTCCATGATCTGCAGATTTTTGTTAAAAACATTAAGTAAACAAAGCATTAATTCAATATATTTGAAGTAAAATTTGCCATTAATTGTGTTTTTGCTTACATTTACATTTATTCATTTAGCTGATGCTTTTATCCAAAGCGACTTACAATTGCTATAAATGTCAGAGGTCGCACGCCTCTGGAGCAATGAGGGGTTAAGTGTCTTGCTCAGGGACACATTGGTAGATGGGTCACAGTGGGCTTACATTACATACATGATGATAATGCCATTTCTGAATGATAAACTACTGAAGTCCTTTTCTCATTTCACTTATTTATTCACAGAAAAGAGGATTCTAACGTACTTTGTTTGTGTACTTGGCTATATCTGCAGCCACGTCAGCAGAGACTGTGGGGATCTGCACGTCTCCTGACATGAAAGAAGAGGAGCTACCAGCTGTGACCTGGGCAGCTGTTGATGAGGCAGTACTCTGAGGCAGGTCTTTCTGTTGCACTGAAGCATAAAAAGGTGGAGAAAGGGAAATAATACATCTTTTAATACACATTTAATTACATTAAGTTTATTGTTTAAAGATAAATGATTATGCTGCTGTATATACCTTTCGCTGCTTGTCTGGTCTGATAGCGAGTACTTGAGGAGGAGTTCTGCTGTTGGGACTGCAGCTGCTGTGGGCTGCTTGTCGGCTCTTGACTCGGAGCCTGTGTCTGCCCTGCTGACGGCTCTCCATGCTGCTGCTGCCTCTGCACCTTCTGCATATGCCATTTCTGAGAGGACGTCTGGAATTTGGTTGGATTCCAAACAACGGCCCGCTGCACGGCCTGAGCTGTCTCTTTTGGCAGTAGAGGGCGCTGTTTCTTTACAGCTGCTGGTACCAGGGGTGTTGTGGAGACTGAGGCAGAGGCAGGAGAGGAAGCAGTGGTGGATCCACTGGTAGCTGTAGAGGCACTGGGCTGAGCAGAAGCTGCAGTGGAAACCAGGTTAAGGGCTGCTGTGATAGCGGGTTGCAAAGAGTCTTTCAGATTACAAGCTGCTTCCCGTGATGGTGCGGTTGCTACTGTAGCAGATGAAGGCAGTTTACCTGAGCAGAAAAAATTTAAAATTCAGTCTTCACATTAGACCATGACTTTCGGAGGAGCACTATTTTGGGAAAGAAACAGAAAATGATTCATGCCCCCCCACCCCCCAATCGCTCTAGCCTATTTTTTCTCCCCCCAGGAACGTCAATATACATTCATACAGGAAAAATATAAATAAAAGATATTTAAGAGCTCCCACAAAATTTCTCAAATTAGGCTTTCTCTGGAGCTCATGTCTCTTTCAGGCGTGCAGAGCTCCCCCATATTTCAAACCCTCAAGATCATCCTTTTGAAAGAAGCATTCTGCATGTCTAAATTGGGCCCAAGAGGGTTAAATGAGTAACTGGACTTTAAGCCATAGTAATCCAAGGTATGATTTAAATTTTCCTCAAGGGAGAGATTATATATATATATATATATATATATATATATATATATATATATATATATATATATATATATATATATATATATATATATATATATATATATATATATATATATATATATATATATATATATATATATATATACACACACACATACACACACACACACACGCGCGCATCATTTAATTCGTGTTTCGGCATCGTTGGAGACGATTGGCTTCGCAGCGTCTTGCATCAAGTAATTTCAGAATTACTGCAAATTTAGTAATTCTAACAATTTTACACATCATAGTCGGTTTACAGGTCTTGGGAAGTACTACTGAATATGTGAAGCTTTTTGTCGCTCCAAAAAGAAAGCTGATTTTACATAGTACCTAAATCAAAATTTGTGTAAAATGATGAATCACTTGAATCATA